ATACTTTATCCCCAACTTTAAAATCTGCTTCACGGCGTTTTCTATCATAATATGTTTTTTGCTTATTTCTTGCCGTATCCGAGCTTTTAAGCGCCTGATCAATCAGTTTTTGCACATCTTTCTGTTTAAACTCTTGCTCTCTTTGTTGCACAAAGAATAATTTATCTAAAGCCGTAATTAACTTTCCGCCTAAAGTAATTCTGCTGGGGTTTTTCCCGTAGTATCGTGATTTGCCGTTCTTAAAGCATAAGCTAATTCATTTATGTAGCCATCCCAGCGCTTGTGATGTGTGCTCACGTAACTGCGAATTATTTTTACTATGATTTACCGCATGATCCGAAAAGACTGTTACTGGCGGTTTGCCGAAATAAACTCGAAATTTGTGTACAGCCATTAATACGGCTAATGTTTCTCTCTCTGTCGCTGTATAATTCCTTTGTGTCTGATTCAATGTTTTACTAAAAAATGCCAAAGGATGGCTATTTTGCATAAGTCATCCTGCATAGTCTGACGCATCTGCTGCAATTTCCAGGTTTTCGTCCCCCTCCGGGAATTTCAAAACAGGGGCATTGATATGCGCTTCTTTTAACCTTTCGAAAGCGGTATTTGCTTCCGCTGTCCACGTGAATTTACTTTTCTTTCTTTTAATTACTAACAAGGGTTCAACAATATTAGCAAAATCTTTTATGAACGACCGATAATAAGAACATAACCCAAGGAAAGAAGAAAGTTTCTTGGCGGTGTTGAGAAGTGGGAAATTCTTGATGGCTTTTATTTTTGAATCCTGAATTTCTATACCCTTTTGCGAAATTTTATAACCCAGATATTTAAGTTCTTTAGTTGCGAACTTGCATTTTGATGCATTAATTGTAAGACCGGCCTCTTTTAATAATTTAAAAACTTCTTCTAGATCTTTAATATGTTGTTCCAACGTACTACTCGTTATAATTATATCAGCTAGATAGATTAAAGTCGATTTTCCTAGGACAGGCTTTAGAACAATGTCCATAGCTCACTGGAATGTTAATGGGGCCCCACACAACCCAAAGGGCATGCGTAAAAATGCATAAGTGCCCGATTGTGTTATAAACGCGGTTTTATGTATGTCTTCGGGTGTCATAGCTATTTGATAGTAGCCAGACGTTAAGTCCAAAGTAGTCATGTATCTAGTAGATTTAATCCTTCTAATAATTTCCTCTATAACCGGCAAAGTGTAAACTTCGAATTTATAATACAGTTTTCTGTAATCGATAGCAAACCTCCAAGCCCTTTTATCCGAAGGAGGAAACTCGTTCTTCTTCCTACATAGTACGACTGGACTCGCGTATTCACTATTTATAGGCGTTATTATTTTGTTCTTTAAGATTTCCTGAATATGTTCTTCTATGATTAGGTCTTTCTGTTTATCATAGCGATAAGGTTTAGTCCTACAGTCATGCGTAACTATTTGACAGCTACCAGGCCGTTCTGAAAACAAGTTTGAAAAAGTACTCACCACTTGCTGGATGGCTTGACTTTCATGGTCATTCAAATGGCTAAGGTCAACTTGCAGTTGTTTCCACTGGATCTCCACCACCCTCCGATCCATCTCCAGCACAATAGAACTTTCCTGAAAATTCAGTTTGGCCTTCGCATGGCCCTTTTAAAAACTCCATACCTAAAATAAGTGGATTTTGCAAATTTTTTACTACAAAAATTAATACTTTAAGGCTTTCATCTTTTAAACCTGTATTTTTAAAGATAATTTTCCAATACATTGACAAGTTTGTCCTTGCGACTGCTATGATTTCTGTGTTTTTATTTTTAAATAATCGTAACGTATTAAAATTCTTCTTAAAAAATGTATCACTCATAAAATTACCTTCTGCTCCTGTATCAATGAGGGCTTCTACTGGTACATCGCCAACCAGGACTTGTATAATTGGTAATTGTGAGTTTTTTACGATGACCGTATTTAAGTATCTTTTCTTGAGGGTTTTTTTTCAAAACTTCCCGGGGTCTGGACCCTCGCTTTTCACAGGCCCCTCTACTCGTTTAAGCTCGAGAACCTCTACTCGTTCCTTTCAACTTCTGCCTTCTTGGTACGCGGACGGTTGTTTTCAAATTTCCTTTTTGGGCCTTGACCTTCGAGCTTCGATGAGTTAGCTTGATAGCTCTTTCCCCCATAAGAGCGGTTTGCATTTCTGGTCTGCTCATTTGAAGATTGCCTTCGGATATTTTGAGAATACGATGCCCCTCTAGCTTTTTCCGCTATTCTGCGATTTTGAAACTTGACCGCCAATTCGAAGAGCTCCTGCAATGTGCTTGCGTTTCTAATTTCAAAGTAATCTTGAACAGCAGGTAACAACCTTAGTAAGATTATTTCAATAATCTCCGCGTCGGGTTTCTTCCCATACAGCATATCCGTCAGCTCAATTTTTCGCAGAATAAAGTCCGTCAATTCTTCTATATTCCGTTGATAAAAACTATACAGTTTGGCTTGTAGCCTTGCTCGATCTTTCACTATGGGGAAGGCCTTTAATAACGATTTTTTGAAATTTTCAAATGTATATGTCTGTCCTTCGAATTCCCCTAATAAAAATTTGCCTATGTTCTTCCACCATAGCGCGGCCTGTCCTCTTAGTGCAGATGTGGCGATGGCAACTTTTTGTCTTTCAGGCACAGGGTAGAGCTGGAAGTGATTGTCTAGGCCTTCTAGAAATATCGAAACCGAATTTTTTCCGTCGAAATTGACGTTTGGCTTAATTGACGCTCTCATCGTCTGGACCAGGTATCCAAATCCTTCCAATTGGTTTGCCACTTCTTGTTGTTGTCCAGCAACTTCCATCCAATTTTCGGCCATTTCAGTTCGACAAGTGTTCGGAAGCCAATGTTAAGTTGCGCGCTTCCAACCTGCACGCAACAAAGTGGTGACTGCTGAGAACTGGAAATAGACCAAAGTCTTGAGAGGGGTTTAAATCCCTTTTTTATTCCACTTTAGGAATTACAAATGCGTGCTCTTGACGCCCACAAACTACGCCGACCCGGCGGTAAAATAAAAATAAGAAACTGAAAAGAGATAATAACAGGTGACTAACTACGAGGCTCTCTAAACGTGACTAACCTCACCGCGTTCTAAAATACCGCTGATAATTCAGCAAATTCTGAATATTACGTTGAAAGATTAACAATTGCCGAGGCAAGAACACAGGCCGAAACGCGTGGTTCTTCAATTTCTAACTAGCCACCTCCGCGCTCGCGAAGCAAGAAAGCACCCTTTCGAACTCGTTTCCTTTCTATTTAACTCAGAATACTTCCGCTGATAATTTGAATCCTTGCGCGTTCTACTAAAATTTACATACTCTGGCATTGGCAGTTGCAGGGGAAAGTAAGGCTTGACAGGAAATATAGTTTAAACTTAAAATAAATGTCTTATAATATGCAGTTATAATTTTTAATAGCTCTATTTAACATACCTGATTATTAGAATTTCACACAACGCATTTCCCTTAATGACAGCAAAATGTTCCTATTCCCATACCATTTTTCTTATAAAAATACAAAAAAAGTCTTTAATTTTGAGCATATTAAAAATTATGAGAACGAAATTCTTAATTCTATACTTTGTTTAAAATTACAATGATTAAAAAACACAAGAAATATTAAATTTGTTTCACTAGTTTTTACATTAAAAATCTGTCTTCTTTAAATTAAAAATAAAGAAAATATTCTGAATCGTCAGTACTACATTATTTTTTATATATATATAGATTTAAAGAACTAGCTTTTATAATAAAAAAAGTAAAGCACTGTACAAATTGTTTAACGTTATTGTTGACTTGAATTAGTCACTGCCGCCTTTCTATCAAATCAGCTTACGTAACGAATGTAAATACGAATGTTAAATGTTAATACTAGTTTCCTAATATATTTGCGCATGGTGTGATGGCGATCAAACATCAGAGATAAACATTCGAACTATTTCGTTGTGTTATTTTCAAGAATTATATTTACACGAGAGCAATGCAATTGTTGCAGAGCCCGTATTGATGAATGTTCGTGTAGTTTCGCAAAGTTCTGCATAGTTTCAGAAAGTGAAATTACTTCTGAAGTTTGCGTTGTCACCTAGAGACACTATTCTAGAAAACGTGACATGTTTACCTTGAGGTTTAATTAAACGGCGTAAGTTATTTAAGCAAAAATTATATATCTTTAGTAAAATTAATGCCATTTACGATATTGTTTATTTGCTGTTGAGTCGATATTTTATGAAAGAATGGTTGCCAGAGTCTGAAGGAGATTGGACTTTTATTTACCCTTTAATTTTGAAGAAGAACACCATGAGGGTGGTACTGAGGATTTTGCACCCCTGTTTCTTCTACCACCAACGCGCATGAGGGGACTTTCAGCTCGCCATATACGCCATATATTTAGAGTATCCCCATGCCGAAAAGACACTATACATTTGAAAACGTCTATGGCTTCTCCGGGATTCGAACCCGGGCCCTTTGGTACGGCAGTCAGAGTAACTAACCACTATCCCGTTTGGGAGGCGTTTATAATGCAATAACCCTTCAAATTACGTAATTCGTAAACTGGTAGTTATGTGAATGTGCAAAAGGAGTAATATTCAAACTGAAACTTACCAATTACAGATAAGGACTCCGTGAGCAATTCTTCCTTTCTCAAATCGTACGTCTTGTATTCCTCAGTTAATTTATAAAATTAACTGAGGAAGCTTCCTAAAATGTCATTGCGATTGGATGCAGATTGCGCCTACAATGGTGTGTGAATCAGAATATTCTTCTTAAGAGTCACTTTGTCTAAAAGAAATAAAGTGCGTTGAAAGCTCACAATGGCTGCGTCTGGTTGTAACTACGCATTCTACAATACAATTATCTAAAATATCGGCTATGATTAAAATTTTTGGCATTCTAAATTATTACATATGTATACGTGAATGTGTACGTTAAACAGTAAGACGTTAATATTAAGTGCAATTTATGCATGGAATTTCACAGGCGTTGGAACTTCCCTTAAGCCTTGTGACGATATTTTCTGTGGAGACAAACCTTTTTCTGAAAGCGAAGCACGAGCTCTGAGAGATCTCATGGTTACATTAGGTAGCCGCCTGAAAGCTTACTTCTCCATCCACGCCTTTTCTCAACTATGGATGACACCTTACGGAATAAAGAAGACATTGCCTCCTGATTATGCTGAGATGGTAAGTAAATATTTACCACCGTTATTCTAGATTTTATCTCTGCTGCAATACCATTTGCAAAATCTAGCATCCCACCTATATTAATTCTTGGTTGCACTATCAGGTTCAATGTTCCTTCTTACCTTCTTCGGGAACATGCAAGGACCTGACTCGGAACAGAGAGCTTACTAAAGCTATGTTCACTAATTGTGGGAAGTAGACAGGATACACAAGAAGGGTATACAAAACCCTTTATTTTCTCTATTTACAATAACTTCCGTACTTCGGAATACACGGACCCGCTTACTTGGGGTCAAAACGTAAAAGTATAAAAATAAAACTAAACTCTAATTTAACTTTAGAATAATAAACGTGGAAGATTGGCCTTATAATAACAGGAAGCGTATGTAGTACAGAGAACTGTGAACACTACAATACGTTTACAATTTATCAAGAGGATTGAAACCTCTGGCCTGAAAGCAACAAGTAACTGCGTAACTTCTAAGGTAAGCGGCCTGCTCCGACTCACTGCTTCCTCTCTCTCGCTTGGCAAAAAGCCACAACTTAAATACTTGGCTTTCGCCAGACAAACTTTGCATAAAAACCTTAACGCTTATAATTCTGGTCGGAAGTAGAAAATAAGAAGTGATAGTAAAGATTTTAAAATAAAATAAACGTTAGTAAAACTTAAGATCCTTACATACTTCCCGCCAGAGTTAATTAGTTTGAAACTGAGGTCTAAAAGGACCTTGTTGAAAACTTTTAGCTCTAGAATCTAACGCGAGGCCAATCTTTTACAAATATTTTTTGCTAGAAACTAGAAATTTAAAAGAAAGAAATTTGTTTTTACAATAGCAGCTCCCAGGATACACAATTTTTTTTCATCTGTACTGCATCTAAACAGGAGCTTTTATTCAAGTCTGGTTCCTTCCAGAGATCTGGAAGGAAAACTAGTTTAATTAAATGTTACACAATGAAATGGCAAGTAACATGTATAATTATATTTCTCTCAACATTCTTATTTCATTCATGACTATTTTAATTATCTCTCCCCGTACTCTCTGACATGTGTTGTAAAAGAACACCAAACACGAATGTGTTTCTGTCTACGTGTTCCACACTTCCTCCTACAATCAAGACACTAACGTGTTAAAATTCAACATAACAAGACCTCTTAACACACCCTAATTTCAACTCTAAACCCTGAGGTACTATTCTGAAAGTGTCTAACTCTGAAGTGTAGCGTCAGAGAGCCTAACTACATCATTCAACCTTTAACACATATTCACCATGATTTAGTCTTTTTACAGTCACACGAATAAAACAAAATTTAACATTACTTTCACTTTTACCATATCACGGTATTTCTTAACATTTAAAATAACAGTTCACATTGTATATAAGAACATATCAAGATGCCGTTAATTTTACACATTTGAAAACATACATTAGTAGTACATTGTTAACTTTATTCTTTTCAAAGCAAGTGCCAACTCTTTCTACATTGAAATACTACATTTCAAAAAGTCTTCAGACTAAAAACTTCTTTCTTGCTAGAATGTTTTAAATAAAATTATACAATAACTTTTTACAATATTTAAGTCTTTACACAACGCTATTATACATCAACTTTAGTTTTATGCGCGAGTAATTGAAAAACATAATACCAAAATCAGTAAAAACTCATTTCTCGCCCTTTTGGCGATAAAGGTAGACCTCGCATGAGGTAAATCTTCTTGAAATCTGCCACTTGCAGTAAGAATGAAAGATTAACTTAAGTTTGGCAAAGTAACATAAAATTTTACTTATCTTTGTGATATTCGGACATCCTTTTCTGGGCACAGTCCTTAAAGGTATTGCAGATAGTTGTTTGATTTATCCTCCTTCTTGTACGGGCTCGCCCTTCAGGGCCTTCCTCTGGAAGCTTCCTTTTTTCACCAGTTCGGTCACCTTGAATACCTTCTTTTTCTCCTCTGCTTGTGGTCTTGGCCGTTTGATGGCAGCTGGTCTTGGCGGAACCGGGAAACTTCTTTCGTGTTCCTTCTTGGACCTTGTTGCTGGCCGTTCAAATTTTCCTTGTAACTTTTCCTCCGCCGCTGATGGCCCTTCTGCAGTTCGGCGGCATTTGCTGCGGAGAGTTCTGTCGGATGAGTAGATCTTCCGTTTTAGAGCCGGGTTATAGTTGCCGTCATTTCTCCTGGTTCTCTTCACATACGTCGTCCTTCTCCCTTCTTCATTCTGGGGGTGTTCGTGAACTCTCTTTTCTGGACGGTGGAACGGCTTCTTTTTCTTGCTACCTTCAATTTTTCCGCGGGGAAATTTTCTTTTCACTTGCTCCTGCCTCTTAATGGCTTGCCCTTGTACTTGTCGTTGTTCCACCTCTGGAGTTTTTGCCTGCTGTGTCTGCCGTGCCGGACCCTGCAAAAGATCTGAAAATATTTGCATTTTATTACGATCGAAGTAGGGTTTGATTTGATCAATGTTTGCGGAGCAGGTTTCACCATTTCTGGCTTTTAACACTACTACAGCGTGAGTTATTTTTTCTATAACATATGGTCCTTCAAATCGTGGAAAAAATTTGGCAGTCTTATCTTCTGGTGCTGAAGAAAGAAAGAAAGTGAATGCGTAATTTTTAAAACTTCATCCCCTACTTTATAAGTTACTCCCCGTCGTTTTCAAATTATAATAGAGCTTCTGTTTTCTCTGTGCTACTTCCGTATCTTTTTTGCTTCTTTATTAGTTTTTCTATATCACCCATTTTAAATTCTGGGGCTCTTTGTTGCACATAAAATAATTTATCTAACGGCGTTATAATCTTTCTGCCTAGAAATAACTCAGCAGGAGTTTTGCCCGTTGTATCATGTTTTGCGGTTCTAAGGGCGAAAGTAAATTCATTGACATAGTTATCCCAGCTTTTATGAAAATTTTTAACATAACTACGGATAATTTTCACTATATTTCTATTGACCCGTTCCGCTATATTTGATTGCGGCTGATACGGGACCATTTTTAAATGACGTATGCCCAGTTTTTGGCACATGACTTCAAATATATTACTTACAAATTGAGGACCATTATCCGATATAACTTTTAGGGGCGCCCCGTATTTTAAAATATATTTATTTAAAATAGAATCAGTAACTAATTTCGCGGAGGCTCGTTTTAGGGGAACGATTTCGGTCCATTTACTAAAATGGATCGATCATAACAAGGAGATATCGACTTTTATTTAACTCTTTTTGGGAAAAGGGCCCAATAAATCGACGCCTATTATTTTATTTGGAAATTCTGATTTAATGCTATTGAGAAACCCGGCCGGGCGGAAATTAACATAATTAACCTACTACTTGGCATACTACTTTTAACATACTACTTGGACATGTTGGGTAAGGACCGGCCATACGCCCTTGTTAACTTTTGCAGTTTCAGGAAGATAAACTGCTTCGCGTATGCGTTGGATGGTTTTCTGAATGCCAGCATGAGAAGCTAAAGGGCTGTCATGGAGCTCCTGCAGGATATTTAATCTAAGACTAGCTGGGATAACAGGTCGAAATTCGTTGTTGGAATTCGTAGTTTTCGTATAGAATAATAGACCATCTATTAGTTCGTAATGGGCCGCCCTATTTCTTATCGCCACAATATCTTGGTGGCTAAAATTTTCAGGATCCTTTAAATACTCATAAATGCTTCCAAATTCAGGATCCTTACCCAATTCGGTTATTACAGTTTCTCGGGAATTTATTGTACATGCTGTGAGCATTGCCACCTTTACGGTATTACCTTGTTCATCTATTTTAATTCTTGATAGGGCACCTGCTACGATATTTTCCTTTCCGGGGGTATGCTTGATTACCAGATTATATTCTTGCAGCTTGAGTGCCCATCTTATTAACCTTGGGGATAAATTTTTTCCCTGAGTACAATCTAGTTACCAACCGCCGCATGATCAGAGTACACTGTTATTGGCGCCTTTCCAAAAATAGACTCGGAACTTTTGCAGTGCTAACAGAACTGCAAGTGCCTCTCTCTCGGTCGCGGAATAGTTTCTTTGTGTTTGATTTAAAGTTCGGCTAAAAAATGCCACGGGCTGCTGATTTTGCGAAAGTACCGCTCCTACCGCATAATCCGAAGCATCTGCTGAAATTTCTAAATTCTCATCCTTTTCAGGAAATTTCAACAGAGGGGCTTGCGTTAATGCTTGTTTTAATTTTTCGAAAGCACTATTGGCTTCGGCCGTCCACGAGAATCTTGCCTTTTTCCTTTTTAATTTTAACAATGGTTCAGCAATAGTTGCAAAATCTTTTATAAAGGACCTATAATATGAAGAAAGTCACTAGAAAAGAAGACCGCTTCTTCGCCGTATTTGGCGGCAGATACTTTTGAATAGCGATTATTTTTGATTCGTCCGACTCGATTCCTTTCTGAGATATTTTGTATCCCAAGTATTTTAATTCAGGAGGTGCAAATTTATACTTTTCAACATTAACTTTTAAACCGGCCTCATTTAATAATGAAAACATCTCTCTCAAATCTTTTATATGTTTAATCCAAGATTATCAACTAGTAATAATGATATCGTGTAAGTATATAAGTGTGGTCTTTTCTAGAACAGGACTTTGCACAATGTCCATGCATCGCTGAAATGTTGCCGGTGTTCCAGAAAGGCCAAACGGCATACGCAAAAATGCATAAGTGCCAGACTTGGTTATAAAAGCAGTCTTAAGGCCCGTTTCCACTACTGCGTATGCGTTGCGGTGCGTATGCGTTTCTCCAATCAGCGAGCGAATTCACTTTGATTGACATCTGCAATCCGGTCGGTGTGCGGTGACGGATGACATACGGATGGAGTTCAACAATCCTATCCGTATGTCTGCGGTTGCGTTGGGGTCACGTGGCGAAAAAGGAGCAATCAGGTGCAGTGACTAAAAATTAATGGCGGCAGAAGTAGCGATGAACGCTCGCTAATAGGGAAAGAATGTTTAGCTAAAAAATACTTATTTCTGAATTAACATTATAGCGAG